AATAGCCTATCCCCAAATTTCATAATGTACCAAAAATACCACTAAGAAAAGGGTATAATTTTGATTTTTAAAGATACAAAAATATTGAATTACAATTAAAAAAAAAAAGGAAAGAGGTGTAAAGACAAAAGATAGTTGGGGTTCAGGCTGAGTCCTGGGTTTCCGTAATTCATATTCTTTTAACCTAAAAACTGTCAGAGAGCATGATAGAGACGAAGATTATATGCGAAGAGACAAAACAAAAGGCCAACAGAGAAGAAAACGAGGAAGGCATATTCACATCCCCACAGGCCATCACCCCCCACTCCTTGGGATTAGATAACACCACCAACAAAACAACCCCTCACCTGTGGTCCATACCCTCCTTCCCTTGGACAACGACGCAATATCAATCTGAATATAGTTCGATGCATAAAATTTTTCTATTATTGTCTTTAAGAGGGGTGCTTTGATTCTTCGGCTTCATATTCTTTTTCAAATTTAATCTTCAGGACTTTATAGTTAAGTCAAGATTCGCAAATTGTTCTAAATGTTATTGTGTTGAATATGTGATATGTTTTTTTTTCATAAGGGGATGAGATTGTGTTTTCTAATTTGGATGTGACTATGTTACCTACCTATATTAGGATTTAGATTTTAATGATAAAATAAGGGGAAGATGAGTGAATTTTTCAAGTAGGGAGAAAATGGAGCAAAATCAAAAGTATCTCCCTTTTCTTCTCCTACACGTCAAAATTGATCCACCAACACCTAAATATTGTTATTTCTTTTTTATATAATTAGTTTATACACAATTTTATTTGGAATATACCTATTTAAGAACAAGTACTTAAATTTTATCCCGGACAAAATTGTCTTTTTTTCCTTTTTCTCTCCATCTCCCTCAACCTCATTCAAACTCCAATCATGCTCCCGTTGTTGGCTTTTATCATAAAATTAGGATTATTCCAAAAGCCCCGCCCAGTGGCTCTGCCAAAAGAACGATAACAGATCCTCTGCAAAAGAGATGGGCCGTGGGTGGCCTCTTCCTCTGCCGGGGTACGCCGCAGATCCCAATACAAAACGATACTACTTCCACTTCGGGATTTGAAATCTCTGTTCAAAAATCAAAATCAAAATCAAAAGCAAAAAAAACCCACCCCCTCCTCTGCTTTTGATCTCTCCTTCCATTGCCGATATGGCATCGCCTTTCAGG